CAGTTCTGAATACTAATTTCCACTACATTTACATTTATTCATTATGCAGGCACTTTTATCTAAAGTGGGACAACGCATGATGCAAGTATCTTATTATTTGAGGACTCAACAGTGACAAGATAGTTAGAAACAGAAAAGGTGAGTGAATTATGATACACACTGTTTGGATTCTCTCTGGAACCACATGGAAAACTTTTAACATCTAACTAAAGTCTAATGATCACCAACTAAAAATAAGTCATCGTTTAAAGAAGTCTAAGATGGAGGATACACACTGAATTGTCATACTATTGATAACTTTTACAGGTTTTTTTTAAACCTCTTGTATGTGTTCAGTGCAGGTTGTTTATTTAAGAACCAAAAGCAAACACAAAAGCAAACCCACAAAAATCCATAGCAAAGGAAGCTCCTTCTCCACTGCATGTCACTACATTTCATTTCATTTGACAATAAAACGACCTGAGACATCTTTGCACGTCAGAATGCGGCAGCCAGAGAAAGCTGAAAGGACAGGAAAGTGGTCTGCTAAACAATTCAGCTTTAAAAGTGCCAAGAAATGAGAAAAGAGAAAGAAAGGAAAGGTCAGAAATGTGAAAGACCAGCACAGTGAGAGGTTCAGCACTTCGACCATGAAGGAAAAGAACACATCAGGAGAAACTTGTTTTAAAACGAAAAAGTTGTCTTCATAAACTCATCCGTATGAAAGGCTGGAAAAAATGTAGATTTGAACTGCACCCCTATTCTACCCAAAAAATAGTAACAAAAGTGTGAACTCTGGTGGAGGAAGAAGACCTTTTCCCAGAGCAAGCCCTCTGGCCAAGTCATTTCGCTTCAGTGACAATAAAACAACCTGAGACATTTCTGAACTCAGGAACACTGAAGCAGCAGCAAATGATATACAGCTGAAAGGATGGGAAAGTCATCTACAAACAATTCTAATTTAAAAGTGCCAAGAAAAACACATAAGACAGAAAGGAAGCAACAAAAAGAAAAAGTTTGAACGAAGTACTCGAAATATAAAGGTGAAGTTAAGAACTTACCCTGTGAAGGGAAAAAATGCCAAGGTAAATCTGAACTGCAAATCCTTCAGTATGAAGAGAGTCTTAAAACACTTTTTTTCCCCAAAAAATGAAATAAAAGAGTAAAATCCAGCTCGATGGCGAGAAAGAGCTCCAGGTGGTCACTGTCTGAATGAGCGCGCCGATCAAATCCACCTGCCTGACACGCTGAGGGTGTGTGCTTGAGTGTGTGTGTGTGTGTGTGTGTGTATCTGCGTGAGAGAAAGTGTGTCTCGAGGGAGAGGCGTGAGCTTTCTGAGACCGGGAACAAGGCCAGTCCAGACACATACACACACACACACACACAGTCTCTCTCTCTCTCTCTCTCTCTCTCTCTCTCTCTCTCAGGTGTTGAGTTACAACAAGCCCCCGAGGGGCCGGATTTACACTCCTCAACCAATCAGAGAACAGAGCGGCCCCATTCGGTCCCTGCACAGGTAAGTGTAACCGGGACGAGTCCGCCTTGTGTTACTGAGACTTAAGAGGCATTTGGGTTTATTTGAGACAAGGCAGACAGACAGACTGGCAGCAGAGCAGTCATAAAGATAATGGAGATAAAGGAGGGTGTGTGTGTTAACTGATTGTAACCCACTGTGTAGTGTTCACTGCTAATCAATATTTCTTTCTCACTTCCCTTCAATCATACAGAAATTATTTTTAAAATCACCCATATATAATCTCTCCATCTTACTGATAATCAGAATAAACAATCATAGGCATAGTTTTCCCCACTTCAGGTTTTACCCCAACACCTCATTTTAAAAAGCCATTTTTGGCCAAGACAATTCACTTTTCAAAATCCACTTTCTTCTCCCACCCATTTTCAAAGTATGCTTTTTTGCCTCCCAGTTTTCAAAATCCATTTTTTCCTATCAATCTACAAGTACAGTGTTTGCTCTTCCTTTAAAAATCCAGTTTTTTCATTGAGGATGACCCTGTAACATTATGCAATGAAGCATAAGTCTGTATTTCTTAAATAATAATAATAATTATTATTATTACTAAATATGAAATTAAATTAATAAATAAAAATTATTCTTATTTTGTTTTGGTCATTGGCACACTTTGTATGTGATTTATGTGAATGAGGTTATAGCCATTAGTAATACATTTAAGTTTAATTTACATTTAAGTTTAAATTAGTAAAAATCTAATTTCCATATGGACTTTGAACATGATATAATTCACTTATTTAATTATTCATTGTAAATCACCTGCAACATGCCCTTTTTGTGCATCCCACAGTATACCCTCTCATTATTTTAGATCTTAGTAAATCAATCAAGGTTTTACAGTTTATAAAGAGACATCACACAATGATCAACCTGTACAAAAAAGTGAAATATTTTTTACATAGCATACAGCTGAATCTATCAGACTTTAAGGAAACAGAAGCTGGATAACTCAGTGATTTTGGGAGAGTTCTCATAGAAAGACCATCTGGTTACTGGGTAATATCACTATAATGATGTAAACTAAAGTCATCTGAGTATTGTGTCATTTCCAAGTGACTGTTGCACATTGTTCTAGATAGACAGAGAGACTGACTATAAATCACACAGAGATTAAGAGAGACAGCAAGAGCTGGAGAGAGAGCAAGAAAGAGACTGTGTGTGTGTGTGTGTGTGTGTGTGAGTGTGTGTGTGTAATTGAAGCAAGAGGAATGTTTTTTTCGAGCTGTGCATAGACGTGATGACACACACACACACAGAATTACTGCAAAATCAGAAATACAAATGGGGTGTTCACACACGGGGATGAATTTAAACAGACAAATTAACACAGGAAATGAGACTGAGTGTTCTCTTTGCCACACACACACACACACACACACACACACTACACAGGGTGATGAATAAACATGAAACGGGAAAACACAATGGGGTGTGCCTTCACATTAAAATAATCAACGATGGGATGGTGTGATGCGTTACCACCCCAAAGTTGACTGATTTAATAAAAGGACACCCTGAAGTGTTTTATTCCTCTTATACCACAGCAATTTGCCAACAATTACATGTTTTTATCAACTAAAGAATTAAAGAATGTATTGTCTGCAATACAAGTTAGTTCCTGTTATCACTTAACAGCAGCACAGGAAGTAAGGTTTTAATACCATGGATCAGATGTACTGTATGTATGTGAGGAAGCGAAGCACAAACACAAATTCTTGTGGCTACAAGATGCACTTGCTGTGCGTCAAATATTCAATCCACTTTGGCGAAAATTTGCTGTGAAGTGGTGGAAATGATCAACTTTAGAGTAGTCAAAAAGCTCCAGCGTAATAGGTCCACTGTCCTGCAGAGTTTAGCTCCAACCCTAATCAAACACAACTGAACAAGCTAACCAAGGTCTTGAGGATTACTAGAAAATTACAGGCAGGTACGTTTGGAGGTTGGAGCTAAACTCTGCAGATTTGAAGAACCCTGTGATAGATCATGCTTTACAGTTGCCAATATCAAATGTCGTAACATTTTAGACCTCACTGACAAGCATAAGCTATTGTATGTCAATCATGAACATAATTACTGTAAAATACTGTTCATTTTTTATTATTCGTTATGCTTATATTACATCTGTTCATTTCTCAGAATGCAAGAATATAGTAGGCTTTTCCACACATTTCTAGTCTAAGGAACATTTCTAGTCTAAGGAACAAGAATGTGCAAAATGTTTATATGTGTACATGTACCTTGTAATGTGCTCTAGAGATCATTTTTTGTTCCAAGGAGCTAAGACCATCCTGAGCCAAGATACTGAGGTTTCCAGAAACAGCTCAAATCACTCAAAAAAAACCAGCTCAAATCATTAAAAAAATTTTAGAAAAATTAAAAACAGTCAAGCAACCAACTTTACAATTATTGGACCACTTGAGATGGACTGACCGTATACTGTGTTTATTGTTATAAAGTGACAGTACTACAAAGTATTAATAACCCATACTTTCTGTTGTAGTCTAATGAATTGGCCAGTAAAGCTTATGAAGCTTATGAAATCAGTAAGGCACATATTATGAATAAGAATTCACTGGATATACATTTGTGTGGCCCCTTTATTGTTGCCCTCAACCTCAACTGTGTTTGCCACTTTGACTTAGTACATCAGGCCTGTGAATTTTATAGCATTTCATTAACAGTATAATTAACATAATTAATGTTCCATTAACTCTCACAGTACTAAACAAAATCAATTTTTATAATTGAGTTTTTAATCATTAACACCTATAGTGTTGACTTAAACTCTCAGAGTGATGCATTAAGTTGGATGGACACAGGACACCGTGTGTCATTTTTCTTAAACGTGACAGGTGTTGAGGAACAGCAAAGCACAACCCTTTTCTAGGTAACAACAAACAGTGCTGATATAATGGACAGGACTTGGGAGAGTATTGAGGATCCATGTGTATGATCCATGAACACAATATGTAATCAACCACACTTACCATTTCTCCAATACACAATCCAAAGTAAATCAAAAAGTTAGACAAGAGTCAAAATACCTTCAACCAAAACAACAAGGCCAAAACAGTAATCCAAAAAATAAAACAAAACACAGGCAAAAGTCAAGGGAAAATCAGTCAGAGAAATAACAAACCTCAGAGTTTACCTCAGAAAGTAGGTTGTTGGCAAGACTTCACAATGAGTGTTTGTGAACCACGTGCTTATATATAAGGCCAAGAAGTTAACAGGAAGTTTTGAGTGTGGAAGAAGAGTCCTTAATATTCAGGTGAGAGGAAACTCTGCTGAAATGGAGATGTAATGTTCTAGGTGCATTTTTCAGCTGGCTGAGGATCATTTGAATTTTTGGAATGAACTTACAGTGGGCATCATAGCAATCTTCTGTTGGAGAGGTACACTGTAGTCTACTGTTCAAGAACACCGTTACCCATGACAAAATCACTGTTAAAAAAAAAAAAAAAAAAAAAAAAAAAAAAAAAAGAGAAGCAGCTGTAGCTCAGTGGTTAAAATGGTGGACTACTGATCGGCATGTCGTGAGTTCAAATCCCAGCACTGCTAAGCTGCCACTGTTGGGCCCTTGAGCAAGGCCCTTAACCCTTAACTGCTCAGTTTTATAGAAAAATGTAGGTCGCTCTGGATAAGGGTGTCTGTCAAATGCTGTAAGTGTATATTTCTTTATTAATCACCAGATTTTAGCTGATTACTGTACATTACTGAGTCTATGCTTTGTCATTTTTTAAACTTATTGTTCACTTTTTTTGTCTGTTTTCTCATTTATGGCACAGATCTCTGTATTAGCTTGAAATCAGTAGGCTAACACAGAGATCTAGTATGTTCCCTTTCCATGATTGTGAATTTTGTACTGGTGGAATTCCAAATAAAAACACTCACATTTTATCTAAGTCTCCCTGTTTGTGAGAATCCCACTAAAATAAGTCTATAAGTGACAGACATTGAAAAGACATTTCGTGTAAGTGAAAGCTTTGCTGTGAAAACTTGCTTCTTGAAGAGAATGAAAGGAGCTGATGTGATTAGGCAGCAGCACACCCAACCACACCTGTTTGGATTCATTCAAACCCCAACCTTTTTTTTTTTTTTTTTTTTTACATTTTTACAGCTGTGACACCTGGTATAAATAAGAACACACATAAACAATGAAAAAGGACATGTTAACAATAAAATGGAATTCACTTCTCATCAAGTTCATTTCGCTAAACCTTAAAATTGTGAGCCAAGAGGAAAAAAAGGAACTTTTTTCCTGGAAAAAACAAAAAAAAAAAACAACCTAGATTGCTGGAGGATTTGGGCCTCAGCCAGTCCAGTAGGCTCCCATGTTACTGAACATGTCCTATCTGCAGATCTGACTGCCCGCTCCTGCCCGCATGAAAGTAAAAACTGTTGCTCTCATGACTTATTTGTTGGGTCTTACAGGATCACGCTCTAGTGTGTGCTGAGCATACAGTGCAATTAGCTCACACAGAAAGCATTTTCTGTCTCTAATGACACTAACGACTTGCTCTCAAACACATACAGAATAATTGAGAAAGAGGACAGCCTGGCTGCTAGACATACACTGCCATAGATATAGAAAACCTATAAAATGTCACCCTCTTGTTTGGGATGAGTTTCCAGATTGTCCATATTGAGTTTAATTGAAATTAGTGCATCCATGGCGATTTTTGTGCAAAATGACAGCACTTTGATGACAAACACACACACACATACACACACAAACACACACAAACACACACTTGTATTATTGTGATTATGGGGTCCAAGTGTACTCACAGTAACAAGCCAAAACTACTTGTAAGGTCATTTTATTGCCTGCATCCTTCATGCATCATTCACTCAATATAGTCTACTGTAAACTTGAAAATCTGATAAAAATAACGACATTATCTATGGCTCCCACAACACACACAGACACACCCACACAGACCTCAAGGGTGATGCTGACATAATGGTTCTTTATATTTTATGTTAAAACATTTGATCTTTTCAAGGCCAAAATGGAGCACAAGGTTTATAATTGGTTAGTAGCACAAGATGTTACAGTTTAATTTTTACCATGGGCAGTGTGTGTCCAATCTCTCAGGTTGCTCCAGCAAATAATTACACAAGATCTTTACAGAATCTGCCAAAAGTCATGATAAATTTTGGACATTGCAGTTAAGTCCATAATGCTGGACACTGTCTGTACTTGGTGGTAACAACCATCTGTACATAGCTGGTTGTTCCTGTGGAGGCTCTGGATCTGTTCTGGTGCTGATCAATGAGAGGAAGGCAAAAAAAATCTAATATGAGTCTAATATATTTCCAATACATTCATCACTGCAAAATTGTCTTTATTTAACAATATGACTTTCATACTCGTTATTCTAGCAGTTTATAAAATAGCAATTGATACGCACATCTTATTTTTTGCATGATGGAAACAGCCTATTATATTGTACTGAAAGTGTGATGCCTAAGCAGGGATAAAAAAAAAACACTGTATGTGCTGTTGAGAGCTTCAGAAAAAGTGGCTGGAAGAAAATACATATTTTGTTATTTATATTGGGCATAGTTAATTATGCACATCATTTAATGTGGGCATGCGATACTAAATGAGGTCATGAGATCATAACGTGTGCATGCAATGTAGGCTAATAAATTAATGCCTATTACTTGGTTAATTTCATGCTCTCTCCTTTAAAAAAAAAAAAAAGTGCCCACAGTTTAAAGGATAAGCTGACCGAGCATCCATCTGCTACAGTTAAAGTTCACTTTAAGAAGCAAAGTGCACAGTGTATGAATTAACACACATGCTGGGTTATTGTCAGTAACTGCCAAGTCAAATTCCTTGTAAATTACCACACCAATTAAACCATGAAGAGTTCACCTAAAAATAGTGTGAGCATTATTTGTCCCATAAACATCATTCTCTGACATGCTACTGGATTTGCCTTCCTTGGAAAAAAAAAAGAGCCTATTTTCTTCTTTTTTAAAAACAGGACTTATAATCTCAAAGACAATCTCTCTCTTTTTCCATGTCTTTGACTCTCATGCTTTATTTCTCTCCTGTCTCTTCCCTATCTGTTTTTCTTTTTCTATTTCTCTTTCCACATTTCTTGCTTGATCTCTAGATTTCTTCTTCATTCTATCTCTGTCTATCTCTCACTTCTTTGTCATTTCTTTCTCATCTTCTCCCATTCTCTCCCTATATACACTACACAGGCACTTCTAAGTAGCAAAAAAGGCTTTTATAACACAAATACACTCATCTTTAATCAATAATGAACAATTTCTTTGAAAGAAAAATCTCCAGTAATATTTTTTTTGGGTCAGCAGCGACAGCACCATTGTAGGTGGCCTTGGACGTGTCTCATTTTCCAGTACGTCTCAGATTTCAACTATTTCATACCCCTGTACGCTGCGTGCTCGGGCCTGCTCTACACACACTCCTTGGCGCGAGACACACTCGGCTGGAAAGAGATGAAGGGATCAGGGTGTATTGATGGAGCCACTCGTTATGGTGGTAAGGACCCTTGTGTTTTATGATTATGTGTGTGTGTGGATGTGTGTGTGTCCTAGGAGCCCACCCCTGGAGTGTGAGTCAGTGAGACGGTATTACAGGTGGGATCTGACAGGAAGAAAATGGATCCTGGAAGAGTGAGGATAATAAACAAAACATCTGACACACAAGGGGTTTTAGGGAAGGTAGAATAGGGGCTGTGTTTTAAAAACAACTCAGACATTTTATTCCAGTGAATCAAACTGTCATGTCTGCCCTGATTCTGTCCCGACTGACCTACCAAGCTCTATAAACCATCTACTGTCCCCTTACTCTCATGTGATCATTAGCATTTCTTGTTATGATATTGCTGTGACTGTTAATTACTTTCACCTTTTCCTTATAACACGTCTTATTTGTCTGTTTATAAACCCTCTGTGTTTGCAAAGTACTGTGTGTGTAATGCTACATATTCACTTACTGCAGAAGAAGAAATTTTGTGATAGATCTAGGTTCAAAAGTCATTACAGAATGTTGATATTTCTCAATATGGCAAAAACCATAAAGGTTTGTGGTTGATAATACGTGCAATCAAATTGTAACTATAGTCATGTGAAGCTTTTTCTGAATAATCTATTAACACATTTGAGGGAAATGTTCATATTTCTGATGTCCAATTTTCTTACAAACCTTCAGATGAAATGTTATAATTAGCCAGGGCATAATCACTCAGTAAATGTATTGAGAATAGGCTTGGTATCATCATTGAGTCAGGGGAAAAACAAACAAACAAACAAACAAAAAAATACCTCTATACTGGAATATACTGGAAGTAGGTCACATCAGGTAATTCCATGTGCAAATCATGTTTCTGAAGAACTTGGAAGCATGTTGCCATTGATTAGACCAGGTTCATTACAGGATGCCGTTTCACAAATACTATCTTTCAAATTTTCACCAGTATGCCTTCAACTCATGAAGACTTTATCCTTTTTAAATCTTCAATTTATAAATCCTATCACGCGCATGCACATGGAGATGCACAAACACCTCAAATCATATACACCTTTGATGGAAATAATGCTGACTTGTATTGGTTCAAACAGCTGTAGACACAAGACAAATGGACATGTCCTGACTCTGCAGGCCAAACCTGATATTATCAGCACTGCTCATGCATGGTTTAATCTCCATCATACAAGATCTCACTTAAACGTGTATAAGGTGGGTGTGCACATCACATAACACATCTATCCAGATGTTCACAGATAGTACTACAATGGGAGATAAGCAAAATGGCTTCACTCTTGGTTCAAATACGGGACACATTTTGACCAAAAATCTCCAAACCTCCATTTTTTGGAAACAAAAAAAAACAGCTCTTTTTCATATCAGCTTAGAAAGAAAAAGACATTTTAACATTATCACTGTACATATTTAAAATAAATTTGGATTACATAGATATGAACTGTTTTCCTATAATGGATTCTAACAATTTATGGTAAACCTACGATTCTTTCTTTATATTCGTAAAACACAGCTGCCATTAATATATGTTTTGACATTAGCAGAGACCAGGATTACTACATTCTATCAAAACCAGCATGTTAAATCCATGTATACTGATATTTTTACTGTTGCTCTGTTCTGATATTTGATGTATGTACATGCAGGAGTTTACTTTTTGTCAGTAGGTTTGGGTACTAGGAAAAACATTTCTCAAAAATAAATAGCCATGACTTCAACTTTACAACAATTTTGCCAACATGTCAGCCTGTCTAGATGTTATGTTTCCAACAGCTTATTGCATTGCACTGTTGCTATTCCATGGTCCTCCTGTGCAACAACTATTTTCAGTATCAGGTAAATTTGATTAATTCATAAAGCATTTAATTTTTTGTACAAAGACAGAAGCACAACTGCAAGCTAGCTGTGCACTGTGAACAAATAACAAACTTGCGCAGCGCAGTAATATCTCTTGAAACATATTCATGCAAACAAACCTGAGCTGTATAAGGAAACTGTGTAAGGAGACTTTTCATTGACAAACCCAGAGTTTTGG